GGGGTCCTTTCCCGGGGGTAAAGCCGGCCGGGGCGTGATGCTGACCACTCACCCCCATCTAGTGCCGAGGTCAAGGAAGAGAGGAGCTATACCTCCTCTCACCCCAAACGCCTACATGGCGTATAGTGGGAAAAACTTTACTTTACTTTTACATTTTTAAGTAATTTTTCTTGCTGGTCACTAGTCCCTTTGTATGTTTACCTTCCCTATGTAATTTCTTGATAATTTTGCTTATTGTTATTCAGTTGCATCAACAATTCTGTTCTTGTGCTGTATCTGTAATTGGCTATCTGACTTGATGCAGCTCACCAGTAATAGAGTTGAACAGAATGATTATTATTTCGACGTGTTTCAAAACTACTCGTTGCTATGGACATACAGAAAGGAAGATATTTTAGTTGGAAATAAGGAGTTAACAGAAGACGTTCAAACACCACGTGGCTGACTGTAGGCTAAACTAGCGGGCTTCTATTCCTGGCAGGACAAACATGTCTCTCTTTATCACGTTTTGGGGTCCATCCAGCTTCTTGTATGACATGTACGGGGAGCTTATTCCCCGAGAGTAAATTGGTGGGAATCAGAGACTAACCAACTTCCATAGGCACAGAGAAAATTACCCGTACTTGTAAATACATATAAAATAAAATTATGATAAAATTTCAAATGTAATGTACACAGTAGACTCTCGATTATCCGGGTTGCGGATTAGCCGGGGTCTATCTGGCTTAAACGAAAGTTATAAATTAATTTATAAAACCTTTTTGTGAAATTTATAAATTTTAACATGGAAATAAACAATAAAGAAATAACGTATTATTTTGCGTATTAACAAAAATTAATTGTCGCTGAATTTTACGACAATAGAACGTTATTTTTATCCGTTCCAATAATTTTTAAATAATAGCATGCGCTCTATTATATTTTATATAAAATCCTTTATGATATTAGTATATCGTTAAAATCTTTGTAGTTATATCTATAAATGAACCTACGTATTTGTTACATTTACGTGTTTTTATCTCAATTTTTGCATATTATCTGGGTTTTTGATTTTCCAGAAAAATTTATTTACTAACCAAACCGAATAATCGGGAGTCTATTGTTCTTTTATACTACGGTATCTCACTACAAGCTTTCAATATGATTGAAAACGAAGAACTTCAGAGAAACTAACAAAATAACTAAACGGAGTAGAGCCATTCTTCAGGGGCTGATATTTTCTAAGCTAATAAATAATTATCCTGTGCTTTGTGTAGACATGAAGATTAATTTCCGTTGTACAAAGACACCTCGCCATTGTGACCCATCATGAGTCAGACGAGTCTGTTCCACTCCTCAAAATCCTATTTTAATTTTAATTTTCATAACCTTCTCCTGCCTTTGTTGTCCACAGTGACCACGCTGTCTGGAGCATGGGTCTTGGGTTTCGGATCAGGGTTAATATTCCACTCGAGGCATGGATGTTTATCTTTGTCTTTTTTGTATAATGTTGTCCCGTGTAGATTAAGACTTTGAGACGTGCTAACTAAACCCTCTTTCCAAGGATTTAACCACGTGTCCAAAAATAGACTGTTTGAGAAAACCTTATGAAGATGGTTCGATGAAACCGAAACATGTTGTAAAAATGTTCCAAATGTAAATCGATTATTCGATGTGGAACATAAAATGATATTTTAATTATCTTATTTGTAAATTTTAAATATAATTGTGATTAGACGGACAAAACCGAATAATTAATTTAATATTTGATTTCACAATATGACGCAATTATACTATCTTAAGAAATAATTATCAACGTAGAGGTAAGAATTTCCGAATGATACACAATCCAAGAAATAGATTCCGTAAATGTAAGTGTCATACTGATCATTCTGTAGTACAATTGTAGGTTTATGAGAGCAGGTGAAAGTTACAGAACATGGAAGTATGATTGATGATCACATGGAGGACAGACTTCATTGTACTCCACTGACAGGCAAAATGTGCAATTAATTGATTTTACACAACCTACGCTTTACTGAGTTATAATTAACGATATCGTGTTCGAATTGTCGTACTAATTTACAAACATTACCAAACGATTATGAATTTTAACAGTGTAAAGCAGAAATTTCTAACGATTCAAGGATTTTCAAGGAAAACTAACAACGCATTTACACATTAAAATTTGTAAGTTTCCTGGAATGACTCTGCGACTACCAATAGACCCCGATATTGAATCGCGCTTGTTTTAAATCAGGCCGAAAACTCCAACCAATTATCCTCAAATTTTCTAGCTCAGTTTCCAGTCTTTCGGCCTTGCGAATTTGAAAAACTAATGCATAATTTTTAATGTTATTACACGCTTCCTTTCAGAAGGGGTCACTACAAGTTTTACCTTCCCAATTTGCCTTATTACAAAGTCAGTAGCATACGTATTTTACACACTGAGAAATTTCACTGAAATGCTAATGCTTCTCACTTGCATTAGACAGGTGGTCGGTTCGAATCTTGGTCGGGACACCGTCTATCCGGAATGAGGTTATTGGTGGTTTGCGAGAGTCAATCTAGTCGAAAACCTAAATAGCAGATATTACATTAAATATTGGCACGAATTCGTTGTCCCCCATTCCCCTGTTTACGAAACAATCTTCACCTCGTAACATTTCACATTAAATACCCGCTGAAGTTTATATTGCATCGGTAAATAACCTACTAATCAACTGTTGGGACTATACATTTCAGAAACACTGGTATGTATTTTAGCTGCAGGACTGATGTTACTGATACAAACATTTTTTAAAACAAGCTGATTATATTTAAATTTTTTATGCTTTGAAACAGCAGATGAGCCCAGTTTATCAAGATCTCTGTTTCTGAAAGATGTGCGTATTTTCTGTATATTCTCTCGTTATTTTAGGGGATATGACATTTATTGACGACGTCCGTACAATTACTAACACCGTATTGCCCTCAGACTCTGCATATTTATCAGTTTAGAAAGTTATATCTTGATTTTCAGTAAATTTGTTATATCGATGTAGATTCGCTGTTAATTTGTATACAGTAATGTTAATGTTTCGTTAAATACTTATCATATGAATTTATTATTTCGCAGATGTTGCTTATTTAGTTCGTGAGCTGTGCCCGTCAGCTTTCATCCTGATGGCACTTTGTCTTCTTCATCGCCCTCGTTCATTTTTCATCACATCACTTGCTAAATGCAGGTTGAAAGCCCAAACTTACGTTCTGACGTGTCATTATTATTCCTCCTTGCGTCGCTTGTACTACCAAAAACAGAACTTTGGTCCAAGTGGCAGGTTTACAGGAATTGTTTGTTAACAACGCTCCAATCAGTGTCGATTTATGTGGTGGTTAATAGATACTAAGTTAGGAATGACTTGGAAGGAAGCGGTTTAGCTTATTTTGAAGTACTGTCACGGAATTTTCCTGCAGGTACGGAGGAAAACCACGAAAACTTGTCAGGATAGCCTGTGTTCCGGGCGATATATGAATTCGGAACATTCTGAATTTGAAAAAATAGTGTTAATCACTGGATTGTGAAGTCTGTTTCGGGTTATGACTAAAGCCTCTAATTAAGAACAGAGGAAATAATGTCAAAGATAAAACATCTCATGTGACAGTGACCAGTTAATATGGAGCAATAGTCCAGTGGTGATTTGTTGAATAAACCAAAAAAAATCTGAAAAAGCCTGTACCAAACCCACGTTAATCATGAATGTCACTTTAAGTCAACCGGGACTGAACGCGGACCTCTGAAGGGGGAGTCCTTTTTAAATACGGTTAGCCTAAGTTTCGAAAACGTTTTATGCGGACCGTCACATGATTTAGAAATTAGCCAGTAAACGAATTAAAAACCTTTTTACTACAGAGGCGAACGCAAAAATATTCTCGGTTGTTCATTTTATTAATTCGAGGTTCACTGGAATTTATGCATAAGAAAAATATATTAATGTTACGACAGATTGTAAATACTTAGGGCTGGAATATAAGAAGCCGGGCTTAAGTTCGGCACTGGTAGTGTATTTCAAGATAAATTTCGGGCTCTCGGGAAGGGAGTGGCCAAACGGTATCTGGGCAGAGCAGAATT